GACCTCAAGCATCTTAAGACTATGCAGCGGGCAGCCCTCAGACGACATAGCAAGTATCGCACGGACTCCACGAGAACGAGATATATGGCGGCGAGCACTGAATACAACCAACTTAATAATCGTTAGTACAACGCATATCAGGACCATCTGCAAAGGCGCTTTAAGACAAATCCCAGAAGTTTTTGGCGTTACGTCAATGACCAACGGATGAAATCCGGACTGCCCTCTACGATGACCAACAGATTGTTCGAAGCTGATTCCACCACTGACATCGCCAACCTGTTCCGTTCTCAATTCAGCAATGTTTTCACTAATGAACACATCGACCCGCAGGATGTAGCCGTCGCCACCAGAAATGTTCCTTGACTTTCGGCCTCTGGGCTACAGTTCGTGATCACGAACGATATGATTATATCAGCTGGAAAGGATTTAAAATCCTCCACGGGATGTGGTCCGGATGGGATTCCATCGTTTGTCCTCAAATGCTGCGCGGATACACTTGCAACACCACTAGCACGAGTATTCAACCTATATTTGACTACTGGTGTATTCCCAAACTGCTGGAAGCAGTCGTATGTTTTCCCAGTTTTCAAGAAAGGCTGCAAGCGGATTGTTTCGAACTATCGGGGCATAGCTGCGTTGAGCGCCACTTCTAAGCTGTTTGAGGTGATCGTTCTACATAAGCTGGTTCAGAACTACGCACACTACATTTCGGTTGATCAGCGCGGATTTATGCCTAACCGTTCGACGACAACTAATTTGACTTGTTTCACTTCGTTCATGATCCGCCAAATAGAAAATGGTCAACAAGTAGACACTATTTACACAGACTTATCCGCAGCGTTTCATAAAATGAATCATCAAATCGCAGTTGCTAAATTCGACAAGCTGGGAATGAACAGTAACTTGCTTTCCTGGCTTCGATCCTACCTAACCGGTCGAAGTATGTCCGTCAAAATTGGAGACCACGTTTCGCCTTCCTTTTCGGTTTGGTCCGGTGTTCCCCAAGGAAGTCACTTGGGGTCGTTTCTATTCTTGCTGTATATGAACGATGTCAATTTCATCTTGAAATGCCTAACACTCTCGTATGCCGATGACCTAGCTAACGTCGGCGCCAACAGCTGATCATTTTGAACATTGTGCGGCTGTTGCAAGACAAAGAGTTTCTCATCAGAAAACACGAACTCCTGACCTGCGTGCCGTGAAAGTATCAGTTTGGTTCTGTCCAGTATCTTCTTCGTTGTAGCCTCCGTTACCCCATGAACCTTGCGTTTCTTGTACGGCATGTATCCCAGGTCCTTCATCATGATGGTGTGGGCAGTCCCGATCGACACATCCAGGTCAGCAGCGGTCTTCCGGATCGAGCGGTTCATTTTTCGACGAACCAGCTCCCTTACCACCTTGATGGCTGCTGGCGTCCTCGCCAAACGCGGCCGCCCAGATCTCGCACGGTCCTTGACCGAACCCGTCTCCTGGTACCGACGGATGGTGATATAGATGAAATTCCGCTTCACCCCGTGGGATTTCAACCGCCGGAATATTTCGCCGGGACGCTCACCTGTCGCAAACAACCTTACTACGACGTCGCGGTACTCCTTCATCGTGTGCGGTAAACAAACGACAAATGACAGCAAGTCGACACCGTGCGCGTCGGTTAGCCTATATATGAGGCTAAAGCTGACACCAATACCAATACACAGACCGCACATGATTCCCACCTACACAGAGATGAAAAGTTTTTTTTACTTATTTATTTGATAAGGCTCAACCGAATTAATGTTACAGAGCCTTAAACTATAGTCAAAAGGTACAACACAATAAATATTTTATCTTCCGCTATCGAATAAATCTCCTCCACCAGAACGGGAGCCGCTTCCAGTGGTTTCATTGTATGGCCAATTCGCCAACGGGGGTCAGAGCGCTTCCATTGCAGCAATGGACGCAAAACGTTGTCAGCACTCACACATTCATCGCGAAACTGTTGCTTTCCAAAGTCGACGACGCATCGACTGAAAGAAACGCTTATCAAGAGCAATGAGGAGGACCACACAATGGTTGCTGCCGAGTAATCAGACGATCGCGTAACACACATTGAGAGTGGTCTGCTTCTGTCGGCAGCCGAGTGAATCCAGTTCCAAAACCTGAAAATGATGCTGACCCTCTGTAGCTGAGATCGTGCTTGAAGTTCAATCCGAACCTGAAGATTCAGAATTAACAGCAAGTACTGAGCCTGAAGAACCAGAATTACCAGCAGGTACCAGTCGAACGGATCCAATGCAAGAATTACCGGACGCAGCTCGCCTTCCAGATGAACCCACTACAAGTCAACCAAAACGGTTGATTCAGATGCTATCCCGACTAGAGCCGGACCTGGTATTCTGGAAATATGAAGGGATGAATGTTGCATACAACGAAGCAGGCAGCACCAAGGGTAGCTAATGTTGCATAACCGAGGAACTATCGTTAAGTCAACAAACTGAAAATGATTGATTCCGTATTCTGATCTTGACCATAAAAACACCTCATTTCTAGTTTAATTACATGTTGTACGAAGTACAACAGGTACTGTACATTGATAGTTTGTTTTGCAAATGTCGGAAGCAAAGGAAGTCATTATCTCAGAAAATGCGTCGACTACGGTGATCGCTTAAACTACTGCATTAAAGACGCATTCAACCCCACCGTGTGTTACTATTGAGTGTGGAGTGCTCTCCGGTCTGGTACGTGTGAAATGAACAACAATGCTACAGATATCAGACCGTCACTCCACTCCGCGATCACGCTTACCACTACACCATCAGCGCCGCTGCAATGGCCTTAGTTTTGATGAAAAACTACAAGAGACAGCCCTATGGGGTTGTACGCAATAGTGACGTAGGACTACGTGGGCTTATATAACAAATATTATTTGTTAACTGCATCAGGAGCTTGTGTTTTGTGAAGGAATTGGAATTTGAGCGGGGTTCTCACTGTTTATACTCTTTAGTATAACGCACTTGACATAGATGACCCACAATGACTCACGAAGAGCTACTGATTCCGATCAATAGCGGAGCGACTTCTTCCTTCTTCTATGGATGCTCATGTCGGCTGCAGTTCGCTTCGTTGTGTACTGGAGAACACCACCACTCACCACGCGGTGATTGAATAAACACCGTTTGGTGAGACCGAATGGAATTCAACTTTGGAATCTGTATTGGGGAAATCGCTTTTCGCAGGCAATCGGTGATAATTTTCATTCGTGCAACTTTCAATAGTGACATTTTGAAAAATTGTTTAAATTTCAAAGATGCGTCGAAATATTTCTTATCGATTGGTGATAAAATTATGGAAATTAGTCCACGGGCAGCTGAGTTATTAACGGTCAAAATCTTTCATAATTTTGTTACATGTTCCATTTTCGGTTTTCACAAAGTGTACCTCCATATAGAAATCACAAACGTAGTCCTACGTCAAAAAAAAAATCAAATCGGTTTTCGAAGCTGGTTACTCATGAACAACCATGATACCTGATTTCATTGCTATTATTTCAAAATTATTTCTCTGGTTGGCAAGCATTCTAGCAAGTCGGAGCACTGAACATGTAATTTTAGAGATAAAATCAAAACCATCCTTCTTTCCGAAGAAATTGCGTCGGCTAAGACAAACGGAACGAGAAATTCCAATGTTTGCACAGGCTCATCCTTTCCCCGAGCAATAGGAAACTTTTACTCTCTGTTGCGCACCAGCCCCCCTAAACGAACACGTGCAATAGTGCTTATCTACTCTCGGTATGTAGCCCTATATTTATCTTGCAGATTTTCTCAATTTAAAATCACTTTTGAGATCCATTTTTCCACTTGGTTTCCTGTCTGCAGATAGGCTAATTGTTTGATTAAATCTTCAGATTGAATAATTAAGTGACCATCCGTCTGCCTCTCTGTCGTTTCGATTCAGCTACGAACACCAGATTGGACGGTTCGGCCAGATTCCAGTTCAACTCGTGCTACCAATTTTCAACTGTCATTTCCGCTCCGCCACTAGCAAATGATCAATTTTCGTACCTTTTATCGCTCAACACTCGAATTAGCGCGGAGCGCGAACGAGCCAACGAACAGAATCTTCCTTTTAAACAACACGCTAAAAAGCGCGCGTCCAAAATAATAGTGATTATCGGCCATTCATAAATCCGTAGAAAGAAAAGAATCTTTGCGAGGTGGTTTTCCTTTTCTTCGTCGGATTCGACTTTTGGTCGGTGCCTGAAGTATGTAGTCAGCCGTCTGTCTACAGACCTACAGATACGAGTTCTGAGCTGCCTAATGCATCGTGGCACCATGTCGATAAAAGCAGGAAAACCGATTGATCTTTACCTTTAATCGATACCTACGCTCCGGTCCGATCCGAAGGGAAGTGGAACCAGCATGAAACGCAAGCCACTTGTACTGAGCCACATGCGGACGACTGTACGCAGGTTGGAAAAGGAATGGTTTTAAAATATGCACCCGTCGTCGTCGGTCGGTCGGTCGGTCTGGCACATAATGCCAAACGAGCCACGATCTCTCTGTGCACAAGCCAAACGGGTAAAAGGGTAATTATTTTATTAAATAATTATCATCGCATTCACTCAGAGTAGACCCATGGTACGGAATGGGAATTTCTTGGTTTTAGATAATATCGATCCGGGTTTAGTTTCCTTTTGAGGAAATCAGTCGGACGAATTGACAGCGGATGTCTTGGAAACGATATATATTTTTTTAGAATAGAGGATCAAATCAAAGAGAAGCGAGTTAATTTCTCAGTTGATAGAAGTTTGGCATACGGTAATTTTTCAATGTGATTGGAATTTGAGGCCCGACGATGCTTCCAGTTAGATTAACCCATTACGAAATAACAACGCAGCATTTTAGGAGAATACTAATTTTCTACACTTGCACACTAACCTAAATTAAGCTAGCGTTTGACCAACACAACAATGCATCACTTAATCTAACTCCCCCACCCTTCCTTCTCGCCCATTCCAGGTGACTCCAGCGACGCAACGGACCTTAGTGCATCGCCCCTCGGCCACATCAAGGTGTGTGACCAGCAACAAATGCTCGCCAAAAGTGCACCCCTTGGGAATCAATACCTTGGCAGCCCTTCGCCGGACAAGTTTCAGCAGCTGGCCAACTACCAGAACCACATGAAAAGCCTGGACTTTGCTGCCTCCCTGGATTCGGCTGCCCTGGCTGCCGCCGGTCACCACCAGTCACATCACCCGGGGCTACACCCGCAGCACAATGCACTGCCTTCGCACGCCGAACTGGAGTACATGAAATCGTTGAAGGAGAACAACAAGTACTTTATCGATAGGAACTACCGAGCCTCGCTCGGCTATGGTAATACCAAGTACGGCGGTGGTGGTGGAGGCGGTGGAGGAGGCCCTGGTAGCGAAGATGGCAGCAGCACGGTGAACGACTACGAGGATGACCTGTCGTCTCCCACGGGGGTGCCGAGTGGGGGCGGCGGCCTGAAGCGCAAGTACTCTGACAACGACGATCACCTGCTGGACGGGGGCAGCGGTGGTGCGGGAAGTGGTGCGGATAGCAATCAGGTCGAGGGTTCCATTAACAAATACAGCAAGCTGCATGACTCAGCTGATAAATCAATTAAGGCTAATAGTTTCGATTATATGAAAAATTTCGATGATTTACGAGCACGACAGGCGGCGTACGATGCCGAGCAGCAGCTACAACAGCATCACCATCAGCAACAGCAACTTCATCAGCAAGCGCTTCATCATCACCATCAACAGCAACAGCAACAGCAGCAGCAACAATCGCAAGCCCAACATCAGCAGCATAACGCTCAATCACAGCATCCACTTCAACAGCAACCTTCCCCTCATCAACAGCAGCAACAGCAACAACAGCATCTTGCCGCGGGGTCTTCGTCGGTTCATGGTCCGTCGGCGGTGTCGGTGATCGCCGGAGAGCACAGGTCTGATGATTACAGGCTTGGTGCGAGTGCCGGTACTGGTGCCGGCCCGGAAGGCGGACCGGACAAATTGGGTGAGGACGGCGGTATCAGTTATGCTTCCAGCGAAGAGATGAACCAAACGACGTCCAGCGAGCAAGGGGAGAAAATAGGCTCCGGAAGTGACGATGAAGGTGAGTCGGAGGTTTTCTGTTTGTTTGGATATGGCCGGGTGAGGTACTAAGAAGATATGGGATGATGGGTTCTGCGCCACATTTGATTCCTTTCATGCCTTACTGAAAACTAAGGATGTTCGAGAATATATCGTAACGAGATGTGGCTTCATTGATTATCATATATATTGATCTCATGATCTGCTAAACACAACCCGCCTTTGTTTTTCACAAAATGGAATTTGTTTCAATGCAAACGACATCAAAATTTATTTACATTTCCGTACGTACCGTAACATTTGATAAATAGTAACAAATTGTTGAGGTATTGCTTAAAATTTAACACAGCTTCTTGACCCTTAACTCAGCCTATGGATTCTAAATTCGGCCTAACGCATTGAAACGCCATTGAATTCACTTCGGTCTATCGAATGAAGATAAACATATATTCGGTCGGAGCGCTTCTTTTCCTTTTCAGAATATTCACTTTGTTCGGTAGCTTTTGAACTTAAGTATCAAAGAGTTACGGGACGTAATGTCAGTCTAGCCCCTCACTTCGGCCTATCAAGCAAATAACTCATTCATTCAGCAATAATTCACAAAAGTAATGAAGAACTAATACCACATGCCGAACATTAGGGACGTCAATTTGAGACGTGTTCTTAATGATAGCCTACGAACTTTATTCGATAACATTGTAATTGGTATTGGTGAAACCATTCGCGTTGATGACGACTCTGCAACTCTCCACTTCTTTAGGAAAAACCTTTAAGCAAATGTCAGTTTCGTGAAACATAGCGGATCGTTTCTTATCCTTTCACTTCACTGAAAAAAGAATTTGAGTAGGATCTACGCATATCCGTCAAAAGTAGTGCTCCCCAAAATTTAGTAAAAAAAATTGGGACTGACAAGATTACGAATGGACAACATCGACCTGAGTCCGAACGATGTTGTTCATTTGTCATCGTGTCAGTTCCTACTTTGTTTACTCAATTTCGGGTAGCCCTATTTTTCACGAGTATGAGTAGATCGTACTCAAATGAGGGTTGCTTAGAAATAGCATGCAGTTAATCAGGCACGGTCAATAAGAACGACCCAAATTTGAGTTCAGTTTATTCATAAATCACATAAAGTGTAGGAACTCAGCGATGAGTAAATTTGTATCATGTTTTTCCAGGTTTTTTCCAGGATTTCCCAGGTTTGTCCAGCAATCAAATCCAGAATATGAGAAGAGTGAATATTGGGTTCACTCAGTATATTGCTACTACTCTTAGACTGGGTTAAACTTTCGTCAATTTTCGTCATTTTCCGCTAGATTTTTCAGGTTTTCCAATGAAAAACATGAAGCAAATTTACTCATCGCTGAATTCCTACCTTTTTGACGATTATGAGTATACAAAACCGAGGACAACATATTTATTTATTTACGATCACCGCCTTCGACTAAGTCGCACAGACTGGACTACTTAATACTATTTTCTAGACCTAATTCCTAATCCTATGTTAAAATACAGTTTTGGACATGTTAAAATCGAATTTGTCGTCAACTTCATTAAAAGCCCGGAGACACAAATCAAATGGATTGTGATGCCCATAGTTCGTCCTGTGGTACGGAATTGCCAGTAGAGGTGAACTTCGGAAGCGACGTGGAGGAATGTTGATCGGTATCTGCACAAGAAGTGCAGGACAGTCAATACCTCCTGTGATGACATCAAACACGAACATACGCTGCATTTTAATTCGCCTCGATGACAGACTTTCTAAGTTGATCAATCGGCATCGGTCAGGGTAAGAAGGAAGATTTACTGGGTCATTCCAGGGAAGCTGGCGTAGAGCGAATCGTATGAATTTCCTCTGCACACGCTCAATTGCTAAGATCTGCGTCGCGTAGAATGGTGTCCATACAGGAGCAGCATACTCCAGGATATTTCGCACTAACGAACAATATAACGTTTTGATGGCGTACACATCAGTAAAATCTGAAGCATGTCGACGAATATATCCGAGTGCAGAAAATGCTTTGGCGCTTATAATAGCTACATGTTCGTTAAACTTCAATTTTGAGTCAATAGTAACGCCCAGATCACAAATCGATAAAACTCGCTCCAGTATGACGGATTCCAGTTTAAATTGATGGACAATGGGCCTGGTGCGTCGCGTAAACGAAATAACTTTGCATTTGTCCCTGTTCACGCGCATTCCATTATCGCTACACCAAACGAGCATAACGTTTATGTCCTCTTGCAACGCCATGCAGTCTTCTGAAGAAGTGATGACACGTTAAATCTTCAAGTCGTCGGCAAAAGAAAGGTTAAAAGAAGAGAGCAGCATACACAAGTCATTTACTAAGATATTGAAGATCAGCGGCCCAAGCACGCTTCCTTGGGGTACACCGGACGTGATGTTGAACGGCTGGGATTGTGCCGCATTCACTACAACACAACCGGTTCTGTCCGACAGGTACGAGAACAACCACTGCGTTATCCATTCCGGAAACCCCATGTGTACCATTTTGTCTATGACCAAGGTATGTGGTACAGTGTCGAAGGCCTTAAAGAAATCTATATAAATCGAATCAACTTGTTGTCCATGTTCAACTTCGTGAGACAAGGTGTTGACGTAACACATCAGATTTGTAGTCGTGGAGCGTTGTTTCATGAAACCATGTTGGCTGCCGGAGATTAATGAAGATACGGCGTTATACAGAACGTTATGCAGCAGTTTTTCGAAAATTTTGCTCAAGCTACACAAGACAGAAACACCTCGATAGTTCGTGACTCGATTACAGTTGCCGGATTTGTAGATTGGAATGATAGAAGCTGATTTCCAAGCCACTGGGAACATCCTGTCATGCAGCGATCGGTTGAATAGAGATGTTATGGGAGATGCAAGTGCGGTGGAGCAGTTCTTCAGCAGCAAGGGTGGTATACCGTCCATTCCAGGTCCTTTATCAACGTCGAGTTCTTCAATGGCTTTCACCACTTCGACAACGGAAAACTGAACGTCGGGTAGATTTATGTCTGGTGAAGCAATATGGGCAAAGCGGTTGAAGCGAGGAACAGACGATGATTTGCTAAATACGCTCTCGAAGAACTTGGCGAATAGGCTTGCTGCTTCCGAATTAGAGCTAGCGATGATTTCGTCGTATTTAACTTTAGTTGGAATGCGAGTAGCCGATTTTTGGCTTCTGACAAAATTCCAGAAACATGAAGGATTTTGCTTGACATCTGCTTGAATCTTAGCCATGTAACTTTCATACGTGGAAAAGAGAAGTGCCTTGTACGTTGTTTCCACTTCCTGAAGGTTATTCCGCTCACTATCGGACTTCATCAGAAAGAAACGGCTGCGTGCTTTCCTGAGGACGTTTCGTAGATGACGTAGTTCAGAGGTCCACCATGGCTTGTTGTAGACTGAAGAAGCTCGTTGTCTCTTTTGAGGTACTTGGTCACTAAGAACTTCGTAAAGTTTATCATAGAAAGCTGATACAGACTCGTCCAATGATTCCCGTCGCAGTAGAGCATCCCATTCGATGTTTGAGAGCACGTCATCCAAACGACCAAAATCACACGACTGAAAATTAAAGTTGAATCTCACATCCCCATCGTCCGTTGTGATTGTGCCATTACAGCTTTCGTCAAGAAGCAAGATAAATGGTGCGTGATGGTCGTCAATTGGTAAAAGTAGAGTTGAGGGTACAATGAGGTCAAAGTACTCCGGTAGATTGACAAACACAAGATCGAGGAGTCTGCCATTAGTATTCACAACATCGTTGACCTGACGCGCAAACCAGAGGCAAACATATTTTCTGTGAGGCAACGTTCTATTTCTGAGGAAACGTTTGACGGGATAAAGCCGTTCACGTCATCGTCTGATTGCCACCGTAAACTTGGAAGATTGTAGTCTCCTAGTGTCAGAATCACATCAGCTGTTGACGAATTTTCCGAAATTAGCTGCACTGCGTTCACATGAGCGTAATACAGGTCGAGGGACGACTTGGGATGAAGATAAATGGCAATGATGTAGAGCGAGCGGCGTCCAGATTTCACACGAACTGAAACTTGTTCGAGTTGCTCACAATTTATCGGCGAAGTAGGTTCACAGACTATATGCCTTTTGACCGCGATCAGCACTCCGCCTCCCCGTGAGTGAATACTGGTCGATGTGCTACGGTCACATCGAAATATGGTATACTCGGACGAAATTTCTGCGTTGTCGAAATCAGACCTGAGCCACGTTTCAGTGAACACGAGAACATTGTAATCACAGCTCGATAAAAGCAAGCGAAGACGGGAGATTTTGATACGCAAGCCTTTAACGTTCTGATAGTATACCGACAACAACCGGTCAGATGACACGCCATTCGAACGGCTCTTCACTGGTGAGGTAGATCCGAGAGCTTCCGTGGTGCGTTGGTTGGCAGATAAGCCCACATTCGTTGACAAGCGGCAACTGGAATCGACCAATGCACAGTGGTCCAGAATGCAGATTTAGCTGGAATGATATGTTTTGAGCCTGAAATTGAAACTTTAGACTAAAAGTCTCTTCTACAAAGTTGTTCCTTGTAGTTAGGCCCTCATTTTTATGACAATGAATTCTAGGGTGGTTCTTATTATCATTTAAATCAAATATCTAACTTTTTTGTTTGAATAAATTAAGGTATACATTTTTCGGCAAAGTTATAGCTGAGCTAGTTTCAAGCAACTTCGTTGAAAACAATTTTTTTGTATCTCTTAAATTGGCCGATTTAGAGCTATTTTCTTGAATTGAGTTAGGGTGGCTCTTAAAAAAACAGGTTTTTTGCTCTATTTTTCTTATTTCGAATTTCTCAGCAGAGGTGTCTTTAGATAACTTTTAGATCTTAAGAAGGCGCAATTTTTTGCTGCACAAAGCTTGTCAATATCTTTCGCCGATCAAGAGTTATTGACGTTTGTATACTAAAAATATACACTTTTCAAATGTTAATATCTCTGGTTGGGGCAAAAAAAAAAAAGTTTTTTTGTAGCATGTGAAAGGGCGCATGTTATTCTCCATAATATGAAAAAGTTGGAGGTATGTTATTTTTTAAACTCGTATAAAATCAATTTGAATTTATTTATATTTTTTACTATATTTGAGTATATCTTTTTTATTAGAAGAGATACAGGCAACAAATTCAGCTATAAAACATTCTTCTTAAAGAGTTTTAAAAGTCTCTAGAAGACAACATTCATGCGAATTTTCAAGTTGCTTGAAATTAGCTCAGCTATAACTTTGCCCAAGAATGTATACCTTAATTTATTCAAACAAAAAAGTTAGATATTTGATTTTAATGATAATAGGAACCACCCTAGAATTCATTTTCATAAAAATGAGGGCCTAACTATAAGGAACAACTTTGTAGAAGGGACTTTTAGTCTAAAGTTTCAATTTCAGGCTCAAAACATATCATTCCACCTAAATCTGCATTCTGGACCACTGTGCAATGTCACGGGAAGTAAACTGTTTGTCAAGAAGACTGGCAACTCTTCAATTTTCTCATACGATTGATAAGGAGGGAAAAAAAGTGCGATTTGACATGCCGAACCTTATAAACCCTTAAAAAATATATTATGGGCATGACATTTCGCATAATTGTTTGTCAAAATGGCATCTTACACATTTTTCCATAAATTGAAGCACGAAAAGGTCACTTCTGATCGAAATGATGCAGGCAAAGTTGTGGAGCAAAACGGCGCCGGTGGTGTAGTGGTAAGCGTGATTACCTCTCACCCCAGCAGGCCTGGGTTCAATACCAGTCGGCGCCGCCGGGATGTTCTGAGGCATAACATCTCTGATCACGCTTTCCTTCGGATGGGAAGTAAAGCCGTTGGTCCCCGGTTCATGAGTTGATGGGTCGATGGGTAGGGTCCAGGTGTGGGAGCTGCCTTCCTGGCACGTCGGTAGCATTGGTGCTCAGCACGGAAAACAAGATCGACGGAAAAAAACAAACCAAAAGGAAAAAAAAAAAATGAAATAGAAGTTGTGGAGCAAAATACATTATTTCTACAACTAAACAAAGTCCACTGATCGATTTTTCATATGCACAATCACATTTATTTTAAGTGCATACGCCTTTTTAATAGACACTTAGCGATCGATTCAACCTCTGGTGGTGAATAGGAGAACGCCAAAAAGAGTGTTGTGAGCAGACATTTTTTCCTTGGGACATAGGAAGCGGAACACTTTCTCACTTTTTCTGATAAATTTATTCATCTTAGATGCTTTAAAACTTGAACAGTTGAACAATTTAATTCTGCATCGTTTTGGAAAGGATCCTGCTGAGGTTCAGTATGTTAATTGCACAGTAAAATAGAAAAATTACGTTTATTTCTGTTAAACACGATTTTACATTGTTCGTACATTTTAATTGATAAGCCTATCAGGCTCTTCATCTGTGTTTAATTTGTTATTCTAATTTACGTATTCACGTTTTTCTACTAGTCTACATAATACCTCTTGGGGGGTGTGCTATGTTTGAATTGAAAAAAAAAGTGATAAACTACCTAACTACGAGCAGGACTGGCAAATTTCATTTTAAATGAAAGATCTCACGCGATATTAACAGAGATATTTCTGTCACTATCATTGGATGAGAAAACGATGATTAAGATTTTCTTCAAAATCTCATAGAATTTTCTGTCATGACATAACGTGACAGTGTTGTGATCATCGTAATTACTAGCTCATTTAATGCTATTAAAGTTACTTGTACCGAGTAACTACGGTTGTTTGCTTAAATTCATCTAAATCAGTTAGAAATGTTGATTTCAAAACTACATAAGAATTAATCTCATGAGTGTTGAGGCATAGCCCACAGCATAAGATTCACACATGAATTTTTTAAGAGTAGAAAATTAATTTTAAAACGGAAAAAAATATGCACTGAAATTTTTGACGTAGGACTACGTCTGTGATTTCTATATGGGGTACACTTTGTGAAAACCGGAAATGGAACATGTCTAGATAGAGCTAGAATTAGGGCGTAACAGCTTTTGTAAACAATGACTTCTCTCATTGATTTCTAGCAACTCAAGGCACGCCTACACACACCAACATATCCATCGGGTAGGGGAAGTCTTCCCCTATTCGATGGTAGTGATGATTTGCCAGGAAGAGTCATGCCTTTCGAGAAATCATCGAGAGAAGCCATTGTTTACAAAAGCTGTTACGCCCTAATTCCAGCTCTATCTAGATGTAACAAAAGTATGAAAGATTTTGAACGTTAAATACTCAGCTGCCTCTAGACCAATTTCAATAAGTTTATCACCAATCGATCAGAAATATTCCTGCGCATCTGTTAAAGTTAGGACTTTACCATTTTTCAAAATGTCACTATCGAAAATCACACGAATGTACAACTGTTGCTATGGTAATTAAAATGATCACCGATTGCCTGCGAAAAGCGATTTCCGTAACACAGATTTCAAAGTTGAATTCCATCCAGTCTGATGATTAGGTGATTATTCAAGTGGTTACGTTCTCCAGTTCACAACGAAAGGCTGCAGCCCATATGAGCATTCAATGAAGAAGGAAGAAGCCGCACCGCTATTGATCGGAATCAGTAGCTCTTCGTGAGTCGCTGTGGGCCATCTATATCAAGCGCGTCATATTAAAGAGTATAAACAGAGTGAACCCCACTCAAATTCCTATTCCTACACAAAACACAAGCGCATGCTGCAGTTAACAAATAATATTTATTATATCAGACCGCGTAGTCCTACGTCACCATTGCATACAACCCCGCTATCTCTGGTTGGTTTTTATTTGTTTTGAAATTAATAAAAATACCTTCAATACGAACTTTAAAAAAATTTAATGCTTAAATTATGTTTTCTATGAAAAATGGAAGTCAAATAGAGACTTTAAAACATTATTATTGGCGCAAAATTGCAACATAGAAGACAGGTTTTCCATGGATTTTTGAAAGTCCATATTTCCAAATGTAAAGTATGACATTTAATCACTTCTGATGTAATTTTGAACAAAAATGCTCATGGTGAACATCTTTCTAACTGCAACCATTGCCGAGATATTATGGAAATAATATCGAAAAATATGTATTTTTTTTTCTATTTGTACAATCCTTTTTCATATGTTCGTTGTGTTGAACCATCGCAGGCTTATTAGTTTGAGCAAGTGCATTGAATTTCTAATGCGTTGTAATTTTACACTTTAGATATTAGTGCAACCGGTTTGTAGTTACAGGCACAAAATAAGTATTAATTTTCACTTTCCGAGGTAGCATTTGTTGAACAGTGCAGTAATGTACCAAGTATACCAGTATAGTAGTCTTTTTCAACATATCTTTTTTTTTCACCACTAGTTCCGCTGTGTCGCAATTTACACGGTACGTTTTTGACGATTTCACGACAACGATACATTCAACAATTATGATTTTATTACTTCATGTGTGAAGTTATCTGTTTTTTTTTTTTTTTTTAATTATGGTCACTTTATCGCTCTTGGGTCATTTGTGACTTGTCCGGGGGTGAGATTTGAACTCGTGACTTTGGCGTGAGAGGTATGAATGCTAACCACTACGCCGGGGTCGCCCCCTGTGAAGTTATCGATTCACATAGTTGGAGATTCTTGGCGTCAATTATCAAATAAAATAATATTTTATTTTATCTGAGTATACCCACCTTAAACTTTTCACTTTTCGAATAAAATTCTCAAAAAAAAAAATAAAAGAAATATTCTAGAAGCCATCAAAATGCTACACTCAATAGTTCCGTCGCAAATAGCCAAGTCCCATTTCTTTTTTTGATTTCGTCCCACTGTGTGCCATACTATCAGACAGAACTATCAATCTATCATATCGTCTTCAGAACTTTCACTAACTAATGAATGTTCGCTATAAAACTTCATGTTGATATTACTAAAACATTTTCTGCCAAAACTTTCTGTTGATGTTTTATATATATTATCCTTCAACTGTAAAATTTTTCAAAATTTTTTTGTTGGGAGCAAAACAGTTGTTGAGAATAATTATGTTTACTCCATTTGTTTTTTTTTTATATTTTAATATTGGAGAAAAAACAATTCGACAGTGAGCATTCATAAGGGCGAATACGCGATGATCGATTCTCTTCATCGATTTTCTCTTTGCATTGCTACAGCTAGGCGAAATAATTTTCTAGAATTCGTTCAATGCAGAGTAGTAGCAGGTTGTATTGGCTATCAAAAGCAACAGCAAACGCACCGAGAAACGTTAAATCTAGCGAGTTATTAACAAAAGAGAAAATCGACGAAGAGAATCGATCATCGCGTATAGGCCCTTATGCATGCTCACTGTCGAACTGGCTCCTTTACCACTCTAAAACTATAGTTCTATATCATTAATTCTCTATTCATTGGATAATGAAATTAAATCATTGGGAGCAATATCAGTGTTTTTTTTTATTCAAACAAGGTAAAGGTTGTGTACGTATGAGCACAGAGAACAGACGTTGAGGCTCGAACAAAATTTCTCTAAAAACTAGTGTAAAGAATCCTATTCGACTTAAGCGACACTAACGGCAACTTCCCCATTTGAAAACCTTCTTTGACAACCTGATGGCGCTGGCGTTGCACAACTTACACTAGACACCAAGTGCTGGCAGCGCCAAGTGGCAATGTTGAACAGAAAATTTATCGATACTAGCACCAAAATGGTCGAAAGTGCAAAATTTATAGAGGAAATCAGGAGATGCTAGCGCCACGTAACGGCGACGTTTCCACTTAACTTTACACAAGTTTCTGATCAAACTTGGACGTTTGTTCTCTGTGGTATGAGTGAAATCTCCAATGAATGTTTAGTAACTTAACTGACCTAATCAACATTTCTATTTCCCCACTTCACTTATAGGTGGCGACGATAGCTGCTCGAAGAAGAAACACCGCCGCAACCGAACCACCTTCACCACCTACCAGCTGCACGAGCTGGAGCGGGCCTTCGAAAAATCCCACTATCCGGATGTGTACTCGCGGGAGGAACTGGCGATGAAGGTGAACCTGCCGGAAGTTCGAGTTCAGGTAAGTGAATCGTTTTTTTATGCTGCCTTCTTCTTCTTGTTCGATGGGAACCTACTTGTGGGTATTGATTTTTTTTCCTCTCACCACTTTTTGCGCGCCAAATATGTGTGATTTCGTGCAGCCGCGTGCGACTAGACACGTGAGTTTGGGAAGCTAAGGGCCAAAAGCGGGGGACAGCAAGGACGAAAAGGGCTAACGAAATTCTCACATATGAGCAGTTACATAGCTGCAAAGAAGTTTGTTATGTTTTGTGTGTGCAGTCGCGTGAAATGGTGGGGTTTGGGGGGGGACTAGCGGGTAAATGTTTGGTTATTTATATGGTGGGAAAAGGATAAATGAGGGTATTGTGTGTTCCGTTCCATAAGTGAATATAGTTTGTTTGGATTTACATACTTGATTGTACTGGTGGGTGGGACAGCAGGAAAAATTGCTTTTCCGAACATGAAACAAGCGATCGTAAAAGCAGTAATACGAATTCGACTTGTGATATATGCTGCAATCTCATCTGGAATAACGCAAAATCAATATTGATTATTTGGTCTGCGGCAGTCGGTGAAGAGACACAATGAGATCCGAACACGGAACACCCAGCCAGGAATTCAATCAACGCTGATCAAACTCATTTCCCGTCATCTGGAATAGGCCGGCCAGAGATAATTTAAATCGAAATTGATAGTAATTATAATCTTCGGCATCGTCAACAAAATACAAATCCGCATGGAAAATCACATTAGAGCCGTACGTATGAGGAGCTCGGTTGGGTATCCCGACTACACGTCAAGCCCGGCGTGATGATCATCGTGATGAAGTTGAGTACACGCCTCCCCTTTTGGATGGTTTGTTTATTCTACTCCCTGCCGTACAGTACATACACTGCCAAATGAGGATGATGCACATCGGAGATGTACGGACAGATCGAGCGAAACAGTGAAGAGGGTAAATTATCCTCTTCAGACCACACTTAATAATAGTCAGTCACAGTTCATATAAAACCAACTCTACCACCCACCCCACCCACGAAGCCATCCGAGTTCACCCTCTGGTTTCCGAGCGAACTTGTCGTATCCCGCTGCAAATGACGGAGGAGTTTTCCCCCTCATTTCCCTTAACCCACCAACAACAGCCACAACCCAGTCGTTCGTCGGTGTTGGTGGGGGTGGTGTTGGTGGCGGCGACGGTGGGACGTTTTTCAGATTGTCGTAATTGAGTTTTCAATTTACCATCATATGAATACGATTATCGGAGTTGGCGTGAACCTCCCGAAGCGGAAATCGAAGGAAAGGAGGTGGAATCTAAACGGGGTGGTTGTGATCAAAGCGACCCTCCGCTCTTCTGTTTGGGATGATGGAAAGCGAACGCGTTGTGCGTGCACCTCGAGCAGGGGATAAGTCACTGTTGATTTGAGACCGGTGACTGTGTTTAACTGGAAAGCTGCGGGAGGGTGGTTCTGGAACCTTGGGTTATTAAAATTTGTTATAGTTGCGTTTTCGATTATTTCCGGATGAATATTATTATGCAGACAAACGGTGGGTTGATTTGATGAAGTTTGAGGTCAAAAAAGGCAATGAAGATTTTGATGTTTGCTGTAATTAAATTAAGGGTATTCGTCTGAAATCAATGGCTGATTCTTCTTCATTTTTAGCTATTACGGTTAGCATGAAATTGTCAGGAGCTTCGCATTTATGTACAACACGATTATTACTAGCTGTTGCGCATTTTCAACCTGTTCATAGAAAGAGAGAAGTATTAATAATTTCCATGTAATTCCACTACATTAATTGCTTATCTTTGACAGATACGCATATTTGTCTACAATGTGCAGACTTCTTCGGCGTCTTGTACTAATACTAATAGTGCACATTGTAGACGAAATACGGGTATCTATCAAGAATAGAAATTAAGAGTGTAGAATCAAATGGAAAGTACTAATCTTTCTCTCTTTCTACATACAGGTATTCCACTAAGACGCCCAAATTCATAAGGATTCAACCTGTTGTTGACCACCTACATGTGATTAGCAAAAGCGATAGCCATCGGTTGATTAAACGATAACACTTTTTCCAACTCTAAAAATCCCTTGCCTGGACTGATTCCGGCACAGAGAACAGACATTGAGGCTCGAACAAAATTTCTCTAAAAACTTGTGTAAAGATTCCTATTCGACTTAAGCGCCACTAACGGTGACTTCCCCACTTAAAAACCCTCTTTGACAGCATGATAGCGCGGGTGTTGCAAAACTTGTACTAGACACTAAGTGCTGGTAGTGCCAAGTGGCAATTTTCAACAGATAATTTATCGATACTACGCCAAATTGGTCGAAAGTGATTCATTTATAGAGGAAATCAGGAGATGCTATCAGTACGTAACGGCGACGTTTCCACTTAACTTTACACACATTTCTGACCGAACTTGGACGTCTGTTCTCTGTGCCTCCGGTATGGTATACACTCAATATAGCACGGTAAAAACTTCAACAGCCGATTACCTTGGTATTTTGGTTTCTGCAAAATATTTATTTCATAGCTGAGAGCTCAGCAAAAATCTAATTTGTTAGCTGAGTCTCGGCAATTGTTTTACTGAATCTCAGCAAAATAAATTGCAAAACTACTCGGCTGTTGGAATATTGGCAAACAAATTTAAGTGTGTATGCTGTGTCTTTACGTACTTAGATCTCCATCACAACAGATATGAAAAACGGAATCTTATTCAATGTTTTCTAACTGGCAACATTTAAACTGATAGGAATGTCAGTACTTACCACAACGAGCGCAAAAAAAAAATGTTTACTCAGGGAACTAGATACTCCAAACTGATGAAGTCCAAAACTCCAGAAACGCTCTGAACTCCGCTCAACGACCGGTGACGTCAATATCTCGAATCTTTCACAACTGAGGTAATTTCTGGAAGTTTAGGAACCTCTTAAGCTCCCAACAACTTTATGAAATATTTAAAATTCTAAAAACTACCAGCAATTTCTTGAACTCTGAAGTTCCATTAAACAAGTAAATCTTCAAAAATTCTCAGTACTCTTTCAACAGCCAGAATTTTGGAAACTTTTTGGGCTGTAACATCGGAAATTTCTGGAAAGCCAGAAGCGCCTGGAACTGTCAGGAAATCTAGGTAATCGAGAGGGTTTTTGTGTTCCAGAAAGTCCAGATCCTGGAGTTTTCGAAGTTTATTATGTATCGAAAGTTTGCCAGAGAAAATGGACGTTGGCAAGAATCTAGATTTTTTTAGAGTTCTACCAGTTCCTGAGTGCATCTTCACCGCAAACATTAAACGGGGTTTTGTTCTCGTTTCCGAAACTCAACGGGTCGCACCACCGGATTTGTATTCCGAGTACAAACCCAAGGTGGGTGCTACTGAAAAAAAAACTGCTAGAGAATAATATCCATAGCACTTTAAAACTCGTATCGTTTCTTTTCTGTTTCCGACAGAATCCTAATTGGACAAAATATTTAAGTTGTTTCGAAGTTATTGAATCGATTCCTAATTAGGCCATGATTCAGCATCGGTCCAATGCAAATCTGAGAAACAGAAAAAACGGCAGGCAATAAGTGTATGTGATTCTGACACAGACCTGAAAGAATCTATACGAATTTAATACCTTCGAGCAGTATCATTGTACTGACTAAATCTAGCACCTAAGGTACCCTAGCAGCACACTTGTCATTCAACTGTTGTGGTTACTTGTATGCACCCTATTTCAGTCACAATCAAGTTGCAGCAACCTATTTTGATGGATGTGTGTTGCTTGGTTACTAGATTATAGAAGTACAACAATAATACTCGGTATATCTGTTATAAGAATTATCAACAAATATCCTCCACAGGTACCCACTTCCACCGAATGAATAACTAAAAAAACAAAGAGATTCCAGGGTTTCTTCATCCCTACAGAGAATCCGATGAAAAATCGTAACATGGACGTATCAATGAATAAAATCAACCAGCGACTCTGAAGGAGATTCAAAAATCGCAACAAGCATTCGATTTCAGAAGAGAATGGCAACAGGGATTCCGGAGGAGCATCGTAAAAGGGCTACGATTCCCAACAAGAATCCCAACAGCGATTCTGCAGGACAATACCAACGGGGGCTCTAGAACAGAATCCCAAGAACTTCCGAGATATTTCAAGAACTTAAAAGAATTCCCAAGAACATAAAATTAACTTCCAGAAGTTCAGGAAAACTGCAAGAAATTCAAAAAAATTCATAGAAATTCAGAAAAATTCCCAGTTCAGTAAGATCCATAAACTAGAGGGAAATTTTGTTGAGATTCGGCGGAGGCGCTTTTCTGACTCGTCATTCGTCGAATTATACGAAATCCTTGATTTAGTTATCCAGAATTTCAGTTGGGATTTACCCCCAAAATATATTTTGGAAATCTCTCCAGAACAAAAATCCATTTAAGGATTGTCCTCTGAAATAGCTGTTAAGATTCTCCTTCGGAATCCTGGTTTGGATTCTCTTTCGGAATTGAATACCTGTTGTATTTCTACGCAGCAATCCCTGTTGATGTTTTCCTCCAGAATCCATTTTGGGATCCTCCTTGGGAATCCCTGGTAGGAAATTCTCCCCTAAAATCCTGTTCGGGATTCTCTTTCGGATTCGAATCCTTGTTGGTATTCTCTTTCGGATGCTTATCCTTTATGGGATTCTCCTCCGGAGAATCTTAACATGGTATTCTATTCCAGAACTCCTGTTCCGGAATAAAATCTTTGTTGGTATTCTCCTCCAGCATCCCTGTTGGTATGCTCTTCCAAAATCTAAAAGGAGATTTTCATCGATTGGCCCAATTTTTAGATCCATAGGCCAATATTAGTGCCTTTCCCCTATGTATCAGTACAATCGTACAATACACAGTCGTGATAGAATCAACACGAGTTTCTGTCAACAAATACCAGTACCATCGTATGACTCCTTCGTCAACGTATGAATCCCGCTTCCACAGAACCATTCCAAAAACAGATTTCGGCGAAAAATCTCAACATCGACAAT